ATTCTCTCCTGAATAGGAAGGCACTCAAGAGATATCAGAGGTGGCGTTCCATGGCAAATCTGGTAGTTAGCAGAGTTCGGGACTAGCAGTCGCTTCACTTGCTACGCGGAAACTCCAACTAGTAGACTTCAAGTATTGAGTTGTTACAGTATTTTAGTCTTGACAGTAAATGGATCTCACCAGAGCGGCTGCAGACTTGTCACTGAGAATATTTCTTATGCTGCTCATGTGTTCAGATTAAAACAACGCCTCTTGACCACGTCACTGATATGAACATACATGCTGAGTGAGGAATGTAGATAGACGTCACTTGACACTTTGTGTAAAGGACAAAACAGACGACGATCAAACTGGACTTTGCGTCGATAAGCAGGGAGGCAGATTATCGTTGCCTGTCTAATTTGCATAAGCATGACTTTACTGTCCACTGTCTGAGATTTATTTATGCAATTTGTAATGCTTTTGATGCAAGCTATTTTAGAAGCGGTCTCCAGGCCAACACCATCTAAAATCTGCTTCTCTTCACCATAGAGGTGATGTGCCATCCTGGAAGATGTCAACTGCTTGGTGTTGAGTGTAACCACATTGGTCTAAGGTCCTGGGGTTCAGTCCAACCGTTATAGATACACATTTGAGCCGTTAATATCATTATACTGATGGCGGTCACTGAGATTTGAACCAAGCCGTTCTAGAAAGTTTTCTGAAATCTAAATTCGGTTTTTGGAAACGCAAGATCAACGTTTCATAGTCGATGGTATCGAACGCCACCGAGAGAACCAACAAGGAAACTTCCCCATCATCAACATTCCCCCTTACTCATTTACACCACGGTTCAGAGCATCCTCTGTACTATGGCCGACGGGTACTTTTCCAGCAGATCGTAATGATGTAGTTATCATAGCGAGAAAAAACCTTTCCATAATCATAAGAAATCGCAGCTAAAAGTAAAAGTTCGTTGTACTATTGACTATATCATGAGCATGTGTTTATGAATTCCTATGATATGGTGATGGTACCACGCGAAAGTGTCGGCATTTTCTGCACAACCGGAGGCAACCGTTACCGCCGCTGTTGAGGTGTGTTTTCAGAAACATTTGTTATACTTAGTAAGTGATACTGTAAAATGTAGATCTTGACATTTCTGCATAAAATCGGGGCGGTAGGTTAGCCAACTGAATGCGTTCGCTCGTCACGCCTAATACCCGGGTTCGATCACCCACATGGGTACAGATCTGGAGCCCATTCCTGGCGGCCCCGTCGTGATATTTATGGAATATTGCTAAGAGCGGCGTAAAATCAAGCTCACTAACTCTGCTTAAAATAGAAGATTAAAAATTTGTTCAACATCTGTTAAAATCAATGTACCATAGCTGACCGTTTGGATTAATAGTTTTTGGTTTTGGTTTGGTTTGTTGTTTAACGCCGCACTCAGCAATATTCCAGCTATATGACGGCCGTCTGTAAATAATCAAGTCTGGTCCAGACCATCCAGTGGTTGACATCATGAACATCGATCCACGCAATTGGGATACGATGACATATATCAGCGAGCCTGACCACCCGACACCGTTAGTCGGCTCTTACGACAAGCATAGTCGCCTTTTACGGCAAGCATGGGTTGCTGAAGACCTATTCTATCCCGGATTAATAGTAGATCAATTTACACGTATTCCAAATCCGTTGGAAGGAATAATGATTCGACATAGATGTGTTAACATGACGATGAGCACGAAGTACAGTATGAGCTCTGTATTCATATGCATTATCTGATGTTACTGGAGTTTCATTTTTGCACACATCATACATCATCTGTGATATATACATGTCCATCCATGTTTTTTCTTGACAGGTGCTCCCTGACTGAATTTGCATCGAGCTTGACTGGGTGACCCATTTCGTTGTGTTACTTCAGCAGATGGAGGAAACGAGCTTCTGGTAAGGTTGTCAATGTTGAATTGAAGTAATTTAAGTTATTGCCTGACGATCAACCGCATTCAATATCTGTAAAAAGGGAGGAAATTATCAATTCTCCACAAGACCCCCTCATGTTAGGACAAGATGCAGGGTTAAGGCAACATGGCTCTCTATTTCCTGTGAAAATGAGTCTACTTGTTTTAGACGAAATACACTTAATAATAACCTTTTCGCGCCTTACGTCACTAGAAAGCAGGAAATTACAGTCAAACAGCCCTCAGCTCTCAGGACTCTATGAAGAGCTTTTGGAAGCTTTTTGGGAATCAAATCAGCGGATGCTTTTAATCATATTCTGCTGTCATTTTTTATGTCATCAAGCAGGATAATTAATACTCCAGTTGCTTCAAATTATTCTCCTTTATTTCCTAACGCACCAGTGACAAAAAATTATGTCCGATGCAATTTCTTCTTTTGACTTGTACCATACATTTTGCACGTGTTTGTGACGGGTGGCACCGGTGGGGGAGGATACACTCACCTTTTTCGAACACCTGGTATCATCATCAGTTGATAGTGATTCATATACACATGTTCAAAATACTGTCGATAATGTACAATCGTACTGCTTTTCTTATGATTATGAAATGTGTTTGTCGCTTTTGTGTGCGGCTGGATGTTAAAACATTGCTTCCATACTACGGAAGGAGCAAGAATAATGGTCTGCATCTACTCTACTAATAATCGGCTGGAATCCACGGCTTTGAAACTCAGAGCTTAAGGTATCAAAGAGGCCGTTAGGGTAGACTAGTGGTTAAAGCGTTCGTTCGTTACGCCGAAAGCCCGGGTTCGATTCCCCAGACAAGTACAGTGTGTGAGGTCCAAGTCGGATGTCCCCCGCCGCCATATTGCTGGAATATTAGTGACACCGGCATAAAACCAACGGAACATATCAAACTTCACTTCCAAGCCGTGTCGACGCAAATTAAACTAATAGTGAGAAATATAATCTTAAGCCGAAGATGGTAAATTCGATGTGCAATTACAATGTCATGGCAAATGTAAGGCAGTATACAGAGTGAAAACCGTATGTACTAGTTTAAATAAAAAATATAAGAAATAAAAAATATAAATCGTTGATATTTTGACATATATATTCATCGAAAGGAATTAGTTACGTCGAAAGCCAAGGCAATTGTTCACTTGAAACAACACGGGAACATATGGTAAGAAATTGCATCATTTGTGTCACTGATGCGTCAAATTGGGAGATGTCCTCCTCATGTCTGCCATTGAACGTGAAAGCTTTGAAGGAGGTAACTTTGATCACAACACTTCTGAGCAAGAGTTGTGTGACGATCTGTCCATGCTCGATTGTGACTCAAAAGTTGTGAAATGTAAACACCAAAGGCTGGAGTTGAAACCATCACTTCTGTCGTACAGTCTTGTGGCGAGTGTTGTGTTGCTCTGAATATCAATAGCACCCGCCATTTAGAAATTTGCTTTATAATTAAAAAGCACGTATATATTGCCTTACGCGGCACAGCAGAACTCCTGCCATGCGACGGCTGTATCTATGGTTTCAACGTTTTGTAACAAAAGCCACATGGATCAAGGAATGAAGTTTTCTTAAGTTTGGCATGTGGGATTATGGCGTTCAAAGTTGATCTTGCAAACAGTCAAGCAAATCCTTTGAGTTTTAGAAAATCCACATAGTATTAATTCCACTTGTCTCAAATACTTTCTGTGAATGTAATGAAAGTACGTTCTTGATTGTATTAAAGATGATGGTTAATCATAGAGACAGAGATTTGGTGGAACATTTGCGGGACCAGCGATATATCTCTCTTTGTACTAATGATTATGGAACTACGTAATGATCAGAGAACTGGCATTTGCGAGATGCTTGTGGTAAACGACGACTACAAAGGGAGGTTGGTGACTTGAAATATTGTCATCGTACGCGACGATTGTGTACAAGCGGCCCCGTAATAGCGTGAATATTGCTGACACGTGATAATACTGATACTTAGTATGTGAATAAAAGCAACGAAACCCTTTCCACAAAAAATCTGTGCCAGTATGATGATTCCTGAAAGGTGAGCGCATCCTCCTCCACCGGTGTCACCCGTCACAAACACATGTAAAGGCAAGTCAATCGTTCGACTGGAGAAAACACGGTCAAATAACGAATTGCACTACACAACGTTTTTGTCACTGATGCGTCAAATTTGACAATGTCCTCACACGTCTGCCATAAAACCTTTTGCAGGAGCCTTGAATGGTAAGTAATAGATTTCCAGCATTGAGTATACGAGTAAGGTTGATTAGTGCGTGCGTGTTCTTTAACGCAGAATGACAGACCACGTCTTTCAAAGTATATTTATTTCTGCCGCGTTTTTAATCAGAGTATATATGGTCATTTAACTTTGACTAAATTTGTCAATAATTGTCAACAGCGGAAGGGATGATGTAAATCCGGCTGGTGTCAATGCGGGTAGCAAAAGTACTGTAAGTCCCCATGGACCTTCAGATGCTGGCGATCCATAGCCCTTTTTTAATGATGTACTGTTTCATGCAGTGATATCTTTTTATAGTCGTATGCTAGTTTTAAATGTTAATCTGTGATAGTCTGGTTATACTGTCCATCGATGACAGGATTTTATTTAGTTTAAATATATGTGGAAATAATGTATAACTTCTCGTCACCATATGGCAGAAATATTGCCGATGTGACGTAAAGCATAAACTCACTCACTTACTCACTCCCTCATATTAATCAGGGCGAATTTGGAATCGTTGCTGGTGTTTTGAACAGTATAATCATAACGGCGTGGAAGCTAATGAGGGAGAAAATGTCAAAATGACAAAGGTCGTAGATTGAGACCTGCAAGCACGGGTTTTTGTTGACAGACAAAGGTTCATATTCATTCAGGACAAATTTGGGATCGTTGCTGGTGTTTTAAGTCCCATGTTTTCCTGGTCTGCTGTGATAAGGCTGGGAATTTTAGTCTGCGGCGTTAAATAACGTGATCATTTGTCCACTACCCACAAGGTTGCTAATGCCCTTTTTGTTTCTTTATTCTGTGACAACAAGGAAAACAACATAATGGTTATTACTTTATTTACAAATGGCGACATCTCACAAAACCAGGGCTTCTTATGTTGGACCACAATGCATACAAAAGTTCATTGTCACGTCCTATAAGTACAAATGAGCTGGGGTTACTATGAAACAGTGTCCATGAATATATACATCGATATAAATCATTTACCATGAAACACATGTGTGAGAATCTCGTACGTGATCCAAAGCAGAGGTTTCGTCACTTAGAATTATTCAAGAAGATTTAGTGTCTTCTCTTTCCGGTACCATTGTCAAATTCGAAATCAAACAAACTATTTTGATAGCGGATTTTATGCTTTTCTAACACTAAAGTAAACGCTAGCATAATCACCTGTGTGTAAAAATTGAAATGATCAGATCAAATGTATTTACTAATACCAATGGACATACTAAAACATTCCAATTGAGACGTATCCACGTGTGTGTTACTTAAAAGCTATAAAACCCTTTCCATGGTCATAAGAAACAGCAGGTTAAATAATTTCAGAAATGGTTACACTGTCCTTTGCACCGTGGCTCCATGAAAGCTAGTCTCCCTTGACCAGTTCTTTTCAAACGGGGAACATGTTAAGGCAGAAAATATACATAAGAAACTAAAACGTCAAATGCACTCACGGAAGTAGTGTATACATACATGGTGATAGACATACAAATAACACGACATATTCTTTAAATCGCGCCAATATTGCCACTTCTGTTTCACTGATAGATCCCGTATACCCGAACTTGTGGTGCGACTTGAGAGTAGCTAGCTCTGTTTGGATTAAATACAAGATTCTCCCAAACACTGACTCATGTTACTTTGCATTTCCTTAGATACACAATAAATACAAAGTTCAAATGGAAAATATGCGGACCAGAACGCCAAGAACATTATAATTTACTTTTGTAAGCTTTTCATCTTGTAAAAACCGGATTGCTTGTATTTGGTAACGATATACATTACAAACACACCCAGGGAACGACAATACATAAAATAACCACAAGTATCGTGCAGTTAGTTGGACAGTAAACATTGAAATGAAAAATAAAATTTATGAAGGACGTCATGTTTCTCATCTGAGCCATGTCTACTTTAGCATAATACGTTCAAAGACCAACAAAAAACAAACCTATTTTAAATATATGTCACTTCAATGGCATCCTCCAACTGTACAGAGGGGATCACAGAAACATATGAACACGCAGATGCCACGTGTTTTAATAGTGACATTCTGTTAACACATATATATCTTGATACTACTACCCAAAACACGTTTTGCACGAGATGTATTGTAGCATTATGTATATAACAGTTTTATGTGACACTGTGTAATGTAGATATAAATATTGCACCTCCAAAGCAGGGACATACGCCTAGAAAAAGGTAAAATGATAAAATCACATTAAAATACATCATCCGATTATCGCTCGGTACCGAAATAAAAGGAAATCATTTTACAAAACCTCACCTGGGCATGCATTATGTGTTCACACTCAACATACAAACATATCTGTGGAAAAAAAACTGCGATCGTGTGAATGAATGAATATGATACCTAAATAACTGATTTGAAACCAGACGGCGCCAAGACATAAAAGGTATGGATGAGTTTCAACACGACAAAGAAAACATATTTAAAAAACCAAACAAATGGACACCACAGTCATACAATACAAAGTAGGCTCAAGTTGATTTAGCATCAGCAATACGCCACAGGCTTCAAATCAAATACGTTCTTCCATTACCCGTGAATACATACATGTACGACAGTCTTCCGATGTAGTAGTGACGTGTGTATCTTATCGTGAGCTCCTGGAATAACTCATGGACAACCTATGTGTTCTCTGCCAATCATGTTGTGATAGTATTATCCTTCTGTTGTCATCACCTACTCCTTCTCCCACTCATGTATGCAACTGTTCTTGCTGTTAATCCTCCATTGTTAATCCTCCACCCACTACATATACTAGTTTTTTGTACAGTGTTCGTCATTCAGTCTTGCTTGACATCGGTGAAAGGATCTATCCCGAAACGTCTCCTTTACAGTATTAAAGAAGTTGTTATTCATTAATTGTGTCTACTTTGATAACGTATGGAGTCAAATGAACCCTACTGTACGTGCGTGCTTGAACTTTTTGCGAACCCTACAGTTGCCTATAAACTAGACCCGTGAAGATCACGGTGAGAATTGGTCATCAGCAACCCATCGTGTGGTCAGGCTCGCTGGCTAAGTTGATGCATGTCATCGTATCCCAACGTAGATCGATGCCCATGATGTCAGTCACTGGATTGTCTGGTCCAAGCCCGATATTTTACAGACAACCGTCATGTAGCTGTAATATATAGCTGAGTGCGGCGTTAATCTCCAATCAAAAGCCTATATACTGAAACAACGTGAAACGCAGATGCCCCCACCTATAGCCGCGCGATGTAATCTGGATGCTCATTGATCTTGAGCTGTCGCTAGAACCAGGCATTGTCTTGATGCGCTGGTTCAAAATAGCGACAACAGTGCGAATGGGCCGAATGTAATCACGGATGATGGAGGAACGTTGTGGATACAGACCTGTAAAGTATTGATGAAATGGGTCTCTCCATGAAACATCTGTGTTATCCCTTTTGGGCATATACCACAGCTTTAGGACCATGCGACTGGTTACTCTTGAACCGAACTGCCTGATGTTTTAGGACGTTAATTCCTAGAACGTTTGAGATAAAAGTTTATCGTTTAATTAACATGTTTGAACTATTAGAGTTGTATACGTGTATATGTATGTCTAGGAAAATCATCATTAACCTTGTGTACTACTTTTTATTCGCGGTGTAAAGACGTGTACATGTTGGTCGAATTGTTTGATATTAAAACGGCATATGGAATTGGCTAGGATGCTTGATATACGATTTACAATCTCACACATTGTCATTTTGTCATACCACTATGCAAACGTCAACTTATAAATTTTATGCAATAAATGTAAACACATATAAGTTTCGTATAAACGTTATTCATTGTTGCCATATTATATGATGTAGTCGCGTTATTCACACGAGGTAAAATGTAATAACGTTCATGTTACAAGTCAGAGCTAAATGCTTAAGAACTTGGACATTCGAAATAGCTCAATGACATTTCATCAAGAAGTTGAAAGCAAACTACAGTAAACTACGGTTATAACGAACACGCTTATAACGATATAACGAACTAACTTTTTAGTTCCGACTATATGCTGTAGTTATGCTGTATATATGCTTATAACGAATTACGGTTATAACGAACTAAAATCAGTAGTCCCTTTGAGTTCGTTATAACCGTAGTTTACTGTACAACTATATTGTATGAATATTGTGTATCTTACAACGTTATTTGAAGCTTGTTGAAATTAGCTTTTTTGCAATAATATTTCTTAGTTTGGTGCTCCGTACACGAATGTCATTTTGCCAATTTGCATTTTGTTAGCATGATTGTAATTGTTTTTTTGGCTGGAGCTGTATTGATATAAGCAAGCTTTGATTGTTTTTGAACAAAAAACATATTTAAACCAGACACGTGCGGATATTTGAACTCATTTTGATGTATAATGCTGTTGAAAACTTAATCAGTTTGAACCAAACAAGTTTTACATACACATCGCATATACAATTCTTTATTGATTGAAACACTATTAACATTGACAGATAGTACATTAGAAAAGGGACAACCATTCATATTTATGTTTTTCTCAAGACCACAGGAAACTTTGCATAAAGAGGATAACTGCACTTAATACAAATGTAAAGGTAATTGCTTCTGACGCCAGGCCCTGCATACTGCCGACATTGCACATATCAGTGTCACAGAAGCATATGAGAGCAGTGAAATTGTCAGAGGGGTTTATCCAGTAGTGACAGCCGTTGGTCTCGTTGATCCCGGGAAGGGAACCGAGGGAGTAACAGCTCCGCATAACGCCAACCCAACCTGGAAGGAAATCACAAATGTATGTTTCGGAGAATCCACACAACTTTACAGTGTGTTGAATGTTAATGAAACAGTAAGCTATATTCAGAGAAATTGAAATTTATTTTGTAACTCAAATCACTGTATCGAGAAATATGCACTTGTTATCACCCATGTAAGTGTTCACGCAAATCACAACTTATAGTCCCTTGTATAAACCAAAGCTTACGACAGATAAGGACAGTTAGTAAGTTCGTCATACATACTTTAACGTCGACAATATTTTTGCCATATAAAGGACCGACCATTTGATATTGTATCGAAAATGAAATTGAAAAGATAATAATGTTTCAGACTGTTAAAAAAAGAAACTGTCTGTCACAAAAAATATATTTTTAGATTGTTTTTCTTTTTTAAACAAAGATTCAGGCTCATAGTTTTAAATTAATAAATATCTTGTTTCGCCAGAATACCAAATGGCCGGTCCCTAACTACAAGTGACAGTTAAACTAACAGCCTCGGTACAAAGGTATTTTCCCTAGAGATGTTGAATTGAGTGGGTACTATTGAGCATCCCGGGGCCAAATAGGTCCTTATTGAGCTATGTTTGTCTTAAGTTTGGACGAAAACGGGGACCAGGTCGTTCAAATAAGTTCCCTATTGTTTGACATAATGATTGTGGATTGTGAATGCGGGGTCGGCCATCAACTATTGGTTTACCTGGACAAAGTTACATTACTAGCAACACGTAAAGACATAAACGTAGCTGATGTTTTGGTGACGGTATAAAACATAATTCCTTCGCGGGTTTGACGCCGCATTCGATAGTAGTCCATTCATAGCATGGCGTTTCAGTGTGATGTGGGAGGAAAGTCCCAATTGATTCACACGATTACCATTTTCGTGAAACTTAGCTGCTGACAAACCTGGAAACGTTACCATGGCGAACCAGTATTCAAACCCTCGAGTATTTGTTTCTTGAAGCGAATTGTGGCACCTTAGACGACTGATCAACACCGTACCCACCATCAACTGTTGGCTTGCTTGTTCATGACCACATCACTAACACAACGCTGAGACACAACTGATCTACTGATCTATTTCCGACGGTGACAAACAACACCCCCCTTTCAAGGAACACAAATATAAGACACCGAATAAAACTGTTCCAGTGACCCATAAAGATTCCGGGGTAGAATAGGTCTTCAGCAACCCATGCTTGCCGTAAAAGGTGACTAACGGGATCGGGTGGTCAGGCTCGCTGACTTGGTTGATGCATGTCATCGATCCCAATTGCGTGGATCGATGCTCATGATATTAATCACTGGGTTGTCTGGTCCAGACTCGATTATTTACAGAATGCCGTCATAAAGCTGGAATATTGCTGAGTGCGGCGTTAAACAACAAACAAACAAACAAACACTGTTCCAGTATACCGTCTTCCAGAGGGAGCTGGGTCTGCTTTCCACACTTCATGTTTTGGTCAATACACTCGTAGGCTGTGAACTGGTAGGACTTAAACTCCTCTCCGCACGCCCCATTCTTTTTGTTGTCACATCTGTAACACTTAATACAAGCACCTGGAACAAAAGAATACTTGTTATAACACTTTGTTAATTTAAAGTATTTGATTACAGTGAAATCCCGTTTCTTCAGACCACATTAGTCCGACATCAGCTTTCCGCACGATCACTGTTGGGAACGTATTTATAGTTTCATTTATATCGAGCTCCAGCGCTCGTCACGCCGAAGACCCGGGTTCGAATCCCGATATGGGTACAATGTGTGAAGCCCATTTCTGGTGTCCCCCGCCGTGATATTGCTGGAATATTGCTAAATGCGGCATAAAACCAAACTCACTCACACACTCGAGCTCCAGCTGATGTCCAGCTGAAAAAATACGTCTGATGCAATTCCCTATTTTGAATTGTACCATATACGTGAACAAATGACTTATCAATGCATGTTTGTGACGGGTGCCACCGGTGGGACAGGATAAGCACAGACTTCGCAAACAAGTAGTATCATCACATCACTATTGGAGAGTGATACACTTTCGTAAGCCAACATGAAATAGAAAAGCGCCACATTTCAAGATCTCTGTCTTTGCTAAAACTTGCAATGTCATCTTTTACTTCATATTTATTGTATTTTATGCCCAAAATATGTTGCCAAACATTCGAATATTGTCCTTTTAACCCTTTCAACCGCATCTCTGCATTTTGTAACCTACCATTGCAGAAATCCCTATTTAAATATTCCCACCGTGTGTCATCACTGATGATCAGAGATCAACTCATTGATCAACTCATTGATCAACTCTGTTTCGTCAGATATTCTCTAGCATTGAGGTTTTATATTAAATCATAATATCAATAATTTTTTTGTCTGGCCCAGATTCGATTATTTACAAGCCTCCTTCATATAGATTGGATATTGCTGATTGTGATGTGAAACAGCAAACAAACAAATAATTACGTATATATTATGTCATGTAAAGTATATTGAAGATATTGCGCCAGGTCTGCCAACACAGGTGTAACTATATGGCAAGGTACTTTCATGATTTAATAGACATATAACGTACATCTCCAACATGTATCTCAATTACCTTTGCGTGTGTAACCGGCATATCATTACAAATCCCTTTTGCAACAAAATATCATTAAGAATATGTGTAAAAAGAAACTACCAATGCTATTAGGCAGTGAAAGTAGTTGCCCCGTTTTACCGTCTGATTTTCAGACGTTCTTTGAGGAAATACTTCTTTAAAGAGGACACTTTCGTGATGTATGTGATTGTGTGTAGCATAACTTCTACACAGATAATGTACCGGTTAATATCTTACAAGCATGATTGCATTCTGGACATCACACGCAATGATTTAATAGCAGAAGGCAATGGCTTTAAATATCAAAGGACGTTATATCCGTTGTGTTTTCTATATAAAATATAATACACTAATGGTACCATAAGCTTCAGTGCATTTACATGGTATCTCATGAGTATGACGTACGTACGATAAAAGGAGTTTGTGAAAATAACTAAATAGCTACACACTTTGTTGATCTATTTTCAACCTTTCGTTTTGACAATAAGTTTCCGAAGTTCAAATGTGCTATGTTAAGACTGGCACGGTATTTCCTTTAAAAGGAAAGGTGAGCGTATATGAATGACTTTACGTCCATTTGTAAAGATTTTACAATCAAACTAAGGTTGCATGGACTGAAAACAGACCAGGCCATTCTATCACTCCACCATCTTCACTACAAAAGTCCAGTTTCACCTTTGCTGAACTAGGCTGGAATTTCGAGGCTCGATCGTGCCTCAATGAGTTATGTCCTTCTTATTGACTAACTACATTCCACCTCAGATATCACTTGCATTGTTCAAACAAAACAGCTACGCCCAAGTCAAGACGATCTGGTCAAGTTAATTGAAAATATGAGAGAACATGTGTACATTCCATGTCTCAGATATCCAGTGAATGTGGATTGTAAACACAGCAGTTGAGCATGTTGATTAAAACATGCACATATTTGGAAAATATCTGTCGACAAGATGACACTACACATGTTTTGATGGTAGACATGTGGAGGACATTTCCAAATTTGACGTATCAGTGACAAACTCATGTCCGATGCAATTCCCTATTTTGACTTGTACCATATGTTCCCGTGTTTTTTTAGGTGAACAATCGACTTGCCTTTGCGTGTGTTTGTGACGGGTGCCATCGGTGGGACAGGATGTGCTCACCTTTTCGCGAAAACCTGGGATCATTACAATTTGATAGGGATTCATATACACATGCTCATGACATAGTCGAGATCGTACAGTCGGGTCTGCTTTATGCAGAAGTTTCTATTGGATATGGAAAGAGTTTTCTCATTTTATTTCAAGTCCTGTAGACAGGCGAAATCTGCATGGCAGTCGCAGTGTTGTTTACGAAAACGATGTCGATTTCGTTACCCGATTTTGATTGGACTTTGCATATGAGTGAGTGAGTGAGTTTAATTAAAGTCACGTCGGCAATATTTCAGCCATAATGTGACTTGAACAAGTTATACAATAGGTATAAAAACTGTCGACGAGGGACAGTATAAAAACCAGCAATATATCACAGATTGACACAAAACTAGTTGTAGAACACTAAAGATTTCTGATTATTAAGGTACGACACAATATAAAAATGGGGCTATAGATCGCCAGCAACAAGGGTAAGATCACCATACTGGGGACCAAGGGGACTTACGGTACCTCTGCTACCTGCATGGTTCCCCAGCAGGATTTACACTTCCCCGAGTTACTGGTGATTATTGCGAGTTTAGTCAGATATTAAAAGTTAACAAATATTCTGCAGTTAAAATAGAGGTAGATATAAATATACTTTGAAAGAGGTGGTCTTACATACCCTCTCAGGGGGACAATAATTTTACGCTACTTCAACCCCCGTCGAGGGTATAGCCACGAACAGTCTCAGTTACTAATTATACACTACCGATTTATAAAATACATAACTTTTTACATCAAAATTTGTGAATGAGAGCTATATCTTTTAAAAAGGTAATGATTAAATGTGAATTAACATTGCTAAAAAGGTCCTTCACTGTTTTGACAGTAAAATATTTATCCCTTGTGATGGAAAAATCAATACAGTCAAGCAGGACATGCTTGACTGTGATTATCTCATTACAAGGGATACAAAACGGAGGATCCTCACCTTTTAATAAATATTCATTAGTATATCTACTATGGCCAATACGACATCGTCGTAAAATGACCTCCTCAAATCTGGACTGACAACCTTTGCATATGTCTCGTTAGTGAAGCCAAAACATGACTCCGAAATTCAAATGTTGAACGGAAAGGGTGGAAACGGGACTTTTCTAGTCAGTTAACTCCTTTGCCTCGGGAAGGAGTCACTTTACTAGAACGGATGTAGTGTGTCAATATGGTATATGCTACTTTTTGAGATGTATTTATGATGTGAATCGTACTGCAAGTGCCCGGAGATTCACGTTCCAAACGGATCCTGTTTTCGCGATCGTTTTTTCTTAAGGCTGCCCTTATTAACAATGATGGCAATGTACGTTTGATAGTATGTGCATGTAACATGGCCTTAAATTTAGATTACTGAAACACGTGGTTTAATACGGGAGATATTGGCGAGGTACAAAAAAATATTCCAAAATTCAGAACCAGGAGCTTTACTATGGAAGGCAAAATGGATTTAAATCAAACAGCCTCAACTATTCCATTTCTCTGAAACCCGCTTTTGTCTGATATTTTCCCCAGAACAATATTTTAAAGGACTAAGTTGTTACCGCAACAATCATGAAAGTGAATCACGACGCCAGAGTCTCAGAGTGAAAGCTTTGTGCTTCTTCTGGTACAATAGATCAGAGCAACATAGCGTTTTTATATTGTGTGTCAAATAAATGATAAATGTGTTTAAAAGAGAAGTCATTATTGAAGAGTAGACGGTAGTCCTTGCTATAGTGTAAAATCTGACGCCAAATACATTTAGGTGAAAGCATATCAAACAAATACGTCTGGTTTTGTCTAGCTATTTCAGTCATTTTCATCAGTGGTTATTCCCTGAGTTGATGCTTTATATATATATTTTTTATAAACCCTTGGAATCAAATGACAAAAAGCAAAACTTGATTGTTGTTAATTATCCGTCATAGGTCACTCATATTTTTAATGTCAATTAAAACTACCTGTATGCACACATCCGACCTCACAGATGAAGCTATTGAGGTTGGCTTGACTGTAATTGAAGTTTTGGTTCAAACTAAACTAACATAAGATTTCTTGTTCTCAGAACAAAAGGGACAGAATTCGGTCCAATCATTATCAGTATCAAATACGAACATCAGAACATGCACTGCGTGCCCTCAAATGGGCGAGTTAACTTAAAATAGTTAAAAGGTGCCGTCACATGGCTGGAATATTGCTGGGAGCGGCGTTAAACAACAGGTGAGGTGAGGTGAAATTGGGTTTAACGTCGCTTCCGTGTTCGTGTGTGTGTGTGTGTGTGTGTGTGTGTGTGGCTGCTTGTACTAGGCGGGTCTAATGCCGATTTATAGTGCTAACCCACTGAGATACCATGCCGCAGTTTCACATGAATACCCCAATCAAGATTCCGGGGTAGAATAGGTCTTCAGCAACCAATGCTTGTCGTAAAAGGTGACTATGCTTGTCGTAAAAAGGATCGGGTGGTCAGGCTCGCTGACTTGGTTGATGCATGACATCGATCCCAATTGCGTGGATCGATGCTCATGATATTAATCACTGGATTGTCTGGTCCAGACTCGATTATTTACAGATCGCCGTTATATAGCTGGAATATTGCTGAGTGCGGCGTTAACAACAGACCAAACCAAACCACTCAGATACACTATACTAACTCCGAGCCGACCAGTCCTTGTTTTAGCCCCTTAAGTACCATCTTTTAACGTCTTTTGGTTTGACGCGGCCGGGGATCGAAGCCCGGACTTTCCGCTCCCCGGGCGGACGCTCTACGGAGGCGGTCGCGTTAAACAACAAACAAAGCTAAAAGGTGTTTCACTTCCAA